TTGGTGCTGTAGCTTGCGCTACAGCCGGTGCTGCTGGGGCGGCAGGTCCTGTAGCTGATGGGGTCGATGGGGCGGCAGGTGAGTGAGGTGGAGCGTGAGTGGCACATGGAAAGGAGAAAGGGCTAGGAAAAGGAGAGGAGGGCGAGTGCGGGCAGTTGCCGCAACGACAGGTGCTTGTGGTGCCTTCCATAGCTGCTGATGCATGCTGCAGCACAAGCTTGCCCAGAGAAATGCGCTGGGAAACTCCATAGCCGTCCTGGAATGGAAAATAAGAAATAAGGAAAAAATAACATAGTAGGGATACAATTAGGACTTCAATAAATTGGATGATTTCTGTGTTAAAATTACCCGGAACTGTACATGCGTGAAACGAGCCAAGGAAGAAGTAAGGAGCAACTTCATTCGCGTACCACGAAACAGTGTCCGAGTTCTTGTAACGCGGGCATGAATCCCAACTTCGCCGCCCGCCAGCACAGATCCACACCCGCCTGTGGATTTGTGTCCCGCGCGGTTCCGCCACTCCCGTGAAAGTTGATTATAGCGAGGGAATAGGTCGCAGGGCCGTGTCCGCACTCCGCCGCTTGTGCGAGCAAGCGCGCGCCCGCCCAGTGATTTCCGATACAGTAAAACGAGATCTGCAATTGAGATTTCACGAGGGCCAGGGCCAACGGGGAGCGCGTAAAGGGAGGGCAAAATTAGGACGCGACTAGAATTTAACTCTGAAATCCAAATTTTAAATATATACGCCTAGCGTGGGCTTCGGCATTCCACGCTTGGTCGGGCCTATCCAATAGGAGTTCTTGCCGTCACGCAATTCCCGCACGCACCATGCCCGCGATATAGATTGCCTCGATGTTGCCCTCTGTCGCGGCGCTCAGCAGGAATCGCTGGACTGCGGGAGTCCAGTGCGCCGCGTCCGTCGGCAGGAGTGCCTCGACTGATGCGGACGCCAGCAGCGACCAGTGCGACGCAGGCCGACAGATGTCGTAGAAGCGACGGCATCTGTAACGACAATCAGGACGAGAAGGCCCAGGAGCAGTTTTAGGAAATAAAAAGCTAAGAAATATACAGAAAAAGTACAGCGCAGAGCACGCGTAGGGTCGGAACGCGTCGCGATGCCCCGAATAAAGGGCGGAAGGAATAACGTAGACTAAACCAAGCACTCACGTTAGCAGCAGGCTGGCGATGTCGGAAAGCGATTGCGCCTTCTTGAAGACGTCGCGCAAGATGGTCGCGACGAGCTCGTCCTGCGGGCGCACGGGGGAAGGGAGGAGCAAGGGCAGGGAGGAGAGGGGAAAGGAGGAAGGAGGGGGAATTGTCAGTGAGAGGTCGGAACGAGCTCGTTCTACAGGGATGGATACAGCAAGGGATTGCGACGAGCTCAGGCGGACACGGGGGATAAGGAGGAGAGTTGGGAGGAAAGGATGGGAACGGGGATGGGAAAATATCGACAGGTGGACGCAGGGATGGGGAGCGGGAAGGTGAGGGGGACGCGGGAGGGAGGGAGGGGTGAGGCGTCGGTCGGAAGAGGAATGAGGGTAAAGCGAACGGAAAGGGAAAGCGTGAAGGGCATGGATATAAATTGCGCGCAAGAAGACGACGCTGGGAGATTGGGGGTAAGGGAGGAGGGAGGAGAAAAGGACTACTCTGAAAGGGAAAGCGGGCGAAGCGCGGGGTCGCAGCGCGGGGACGTGGCGTGGGGAAACCTACAGGAAGACGATCGATGTGGCAAGAGACGGAAGGAAGCGGCGACGCGTCCGGGCCTCCCTTGCCCCGACGTGCAGTCGCGCAGTCGTCAATCTCAGGCGCAGCGCGTTGCCCTCCGCTTGCGGCGTCCGCATGGCGCAAGCTCGGGACAGCAACACAACTGCGGCGCGAGGGCTCTGCTGCCGCGGCGCTGTTTGCGTAGGACGTCCTTAATCGCTTGTTCGGCCAGCCCATGGGATCGAGCGCATTCAGGAACGGATGTTGCTGGACCTGGTGGTACGACGGAACGAGCGGCGACATTTGCGCTTCGAGACGAGTCGCGTCAAGCTCTAAGCGGCTCCGACGGCGAATGGGCCAGGAAATCGTCGAGGAGAAGAGGCTAGGCTTCCGCGGCGCGCTAGATTCTCCTGCGCGTTAGTTGTCCGAAAAAACTTCGTCAAGATTCCAACCACGAGTGAGTAGACTCAAAATATGAATATATAACTACCCTAGCGTGGAAGATGACGCGGCTGCGGGGGCGTGAGCCACGGTGAGGTGGCGTAAGTTGGTTTTTGCCCACGTGTACGTTCGCCTTTAGATCGCAGTTATGCACGGCTGCTGCCAAGCTGTCGGCGAAGGACTGAGAATGCTGTTGGAAAGGGTTCCTTGCGATGCAATCCCCTCAGTCAACCCAACCTCCAAAGGGAGTTTTTCTTTTTACTGCTGCAAGGCTGTCTGTGGATGGGAGTTTTTCTTCCGTATGTGTGGCCGATTTTTTTCCTTGAAAGTGCTGCTGTTGGACGAGACGAGACCAACTGACTCGTTTGCTGCCAACAGAAGGGAGACGAGTTGCTTTGCGCGTGTGAACAGCAGTCGGGTCGATCCGCTCTCCCAGTTATTGCTTCCCCCGCGTCCCTTGATTTGCTTGGAATGCAAGCTGTCGCGGCGCTTGATCATCCGCCTTTTTATCCGCCCACATTCAAATTCAACAGCTGTGCTGGTTGTGTGCGCGGGGGTGGGGGAGATAAATGGGGTGAATGGGAGGGGGGCGGGGAGGGGAGCGGAGAGATCAAAGTTTGGTGTTAGGGGAGGGGGAGTGTCGACACTCAAGGCAGCCCCTGAGGTGATTTGCCTTCGTTCGTCCAGCGTGTCACTCTGTCAAGTGGCTTTCATTGGCGGGATCAGCGGTTCGACAGCCACGGGAAGCCGTAACGAAGGAAATTTCGCATGGGCAGAGCTTGAAAGCAAACTTGACCAGATTCACCCAGGAAAATCCAGCATCTTTTTGCAGAATGTCCACAGATTGCAGAGCGTGGTGACGCGGTGACGTGGTGACGTGTTGACGTTGTAGAGCGTCACCACGTTCTGCACACTGCTGTGCAAGCACAATGCGAAGAATACGGTTGGGTGAGGTGATGAACTCTACAAACAATTTTGCCAACGTATTTATTGGGTTCAGATGGGTATACAGCGATTACTGAATTTTAACGCCCTTGAGCGAGTTTGTGACGTGGTTCGGTTTTTTCCCCCAGGTTGCTAGGAACGTTTAATGGCACCAGATCGCAAGAGACAAAAACTGCAGCGACGAGTCGGGCAAGGTGAGAAGGTTGAGAAATATGGTGTATTTGTAACTGCTTGCCCACGCCTGCAATTAGCGCCCCTCCCCGATTCGTACAACAGGCATGACAAGCTGGCACCGACAGGTAATGAACGGAGGAAATCCACTTGTACACTGTTCGAGTTTGTTTTTTAGAACGGAAAGTAGGGTTGGTGGAAATTGACGTGCGAAGGCGGCCAATATTCAGACATTCCTCCGAAGATCCACAAGAGCAGCAGGCGGCCGAACAAATGGGAACACATCATGACAGGCAACAGGCAAGTACGAGGAAAACCCTAAGCCTCTCCTGGCTCCCCAAGTCAAAAAATGACGCGTAGAGGTGTTGTTGTGAAACATTTGTATTTGTCTTCAATCCAGCTTCATCTTATGACTGAAGCGTTATTTTGGGGGGTGAATACGGTACATTTCTGGAAATCTCGCGCGGTGGCGGTTAAAATACCGCAGACTAGGTGTAACGTCGAACAAACATTTCTGGAAATCTCGTAGCACAGTATCATCGGAACATCATTTAATGCTGTACAAACAAAAGAAAATCTAAAAACGTCAGGAAAATATCATCTAATTATGCAAGCTCACCAGGAACAGCACTTTGCATCCCCGCCGCATCAGCTTCTTTTGTGATGCCCGTTCAGGATGACGAAAACATAAACAAACGAGAACGCTATGTCCGTCGTGCACCCATCTGCGTCACACTCCCTACGTTTACATAAACGTCGAAACCTAGAAAACCTTTTGAAACGAAACCTCGCCAGAAGTACGACTGTGGGAGCTTGCGTTTGTTCCTCTGGACAGCTGTTTGCCAGCTGTCAGCCTCATCTAGCCACTTGGCAATTACTGCTAGTTACTTCCACTGTACAATTTGCACCTGGCTGCACCCATTCATCACAAGAACAGTACAATTAATGCTCGTTTGGCGCACCCTACTTTGCCTTGTGCTCTGGGCTTATAAGCGGTTTAGGCATTTCGCATTGTTCGTACAGGTTCGCCACAGACTTGACGTGCTCCTAAAAAACACAGGTTGTTACATGTTTTTTTCCAAACAGTATGGTGGTCTGACTTGCGTGTTTTGGGAACAGCACTACGGTCTACAGCGTACACCCTCATTCTCGATAGACTGACATATGTTATAATTACCGCGACGCTTAGTGTAGCCGCATTGGACCAAAGGTGGTCCTATCACATGCGTTACAGTGACAACTTTACCCAAGGCGTTTAGTCAAGTTTGAATATGTTTTAGAATGGTACTGTCGTATGTTAAACGGTTAAGACAGTTATTCAGCGGAAACGGTTTAGGGTGGACCGAGGCTTGTTTCGTCACGTCGTGCGACTTTGCCCGCACCGAGTTATCGCACCAGCCCGCTACGTCCAAACACTGTAGCCAGTGCTTCCGCCGGTGAGAAGGGTGAGAATGAGGGTGGATTTGTGAAGTAAGCAGATACTTTAGATAGGTTGCGTATTTGGCCCTTTCTGTCCAACAAATTAATTCTTATAAATAGATACATTTCCGTTCTGTTAGAGGCTACAAACACAGAATATGATAGAAGGTGAACACAAAACAATAAAACACACATAAGATGCAACCTAAACACACAGGTGAATGAGCACAAGTAATTGGGAATGTAACAGTGTCCAGGACTCCTCTACTCAAATGGTACTTAGTGAGCATCACTGCCTTCGCCTCTCTAATCTGAGGCTTTCATTTTTTGTCATCCCCTCTCCTCCATCCCCTTTGTTTCCTTCCTCCACATTTCCTGTCCCTCTCCTTTCTTTCACACACCTCCTTTCCCCTCTGCTTGGCAACCACCCCTTCTCTCACATGGTACATCACACAACACACCACAGCAGCTCCCCATGTACTCGTGATGACAGCACCCGTCGAGCTGTTGAATTGACGTTCCCTATCTCCACGAAACAGAGTATAAGTGTGACATGGCAGGACAGGGTGGTATATAGCAGAGTGTTAGGTAGAGGGCTAGTCTGTAGCAGGACGGCCTGTAGAAGCTCGGATTGTAGTGGGGTGGTCCGTAGCAGTGTGTGTGTAGCAGCGCGGTATGCAAAGGGAAGGTCTGGCGCAGGGAGTGTGAAACAGGAGCAGGAGGACAGTATGTAGCATCCATCTGTAGCAGCGCATCCGCCTCACATCCAAGAAGCTCCATATCATGTCAAATAATATGTGATGCAGCAGAGCGACACCGAATAATCGAGTTAGGCTCAGGGTAGTCATGCATTTGTAAACAGTATTTTCCGAGGAGACGGAAAGACTTGACCTTCATTGTCAAGCGCCAAAGCCAGGGTAAACTTCAGCTGGAAAATATCATCTGCCCCTCCCGCTGCTCTCTCCTCGCCTTCATCCTCGTCTGCCAACATAACCACGTCGACCTCCTCTTTAAATTTCACTCTCCTGCCCGCGGTATTCGATCTCACAAGGGTAACTTCCCCGTTTTCCTTATCCTTATTTCTGTTTACAGTTTCCGATTTGCTCCTCCGCCATAGGGTAGGAGGCTCCTCCTCTTCCTCCTCTTCGATGATTTGCTGACTGTGCGAACTGCTTCCCGAGTCATTTCGTTTATGGCTCCCCATGCTTTCCAGCGATTCGCTAGAGGAACTCGGCTTCACAATTCCGTGTCTGTTCGGCTCCGCAGTCAGCCTTAAAGGGGATAAACCTGGCGGTTTCCTGCACGGGCTGGGGCTATTCGTGCTAACTCCCGCTTTAGGCAGACCTTTTGGTTTCGACGAACCGTAATGCTCGAAACTCTCGCACCGCCTGTGCTGCACCGGCGGTTTGCCATGCCCCGAAACCGCGCCGCCCAATCCGCTGCTCTTCCCGCTCCCAGGCTCCAATTGGCCGGGATCCAATGACGTGGCGCGCCGCAACCTGTCCCCGAAGGCTTCCCTCGACTCGCCCGATTCCGCGTGGCTCCAAACGTGTCCACTGGACGGAATCTGTTGCCTAAAAAGATTCGATTCTGGGATGCTACCCGAAGATCTGAAGCTACCCATGCCGCTGCCCACCCCCGCGCCAACGCCGCTTCCCCCGCCGCCGCCGCCGCCGCCGCTGCCGCTGCCGCCGCCGCTGCTGCTGCTGCCATTGCTGTTGCTGTTACTGCAATGGCTGGTGGAAGCCTTGGGTATGGGGCATTTATCGGACGAATTGCCGCCGAGTCGCGACGGCATGAGCCGACCGCTTTTAGTCCGGAAGATTCCTCGCAGCTTCCCGCCCCACTTGCCGTTGGCTGGCTTTTCCTCCACCAGAGCGCCGGAGACCGCTTCCGCTGCCGCTTTTTGCGCCGCATTCTCCGCTTGCTGCTGCTGCTGCAAGTGCGCCGGCTGGGAAACGGGAATCGCGGAGGACGGCGCGCAGTCGCCCATGTATTTGCGCTTCCAGATGCTTTCGAGGAAGCTTCCGTTGAGGACCGCGGCCGGCGGCGCCCAGGGCTCTGCGGGGACGTTCTGATCGACGAAGAGTTGCCACGTGGCGTTCGCTCGCGCCACGACCGCGTGCGCGCGCTCCGGACCCAACGGCTCGCTGACGAAGGGAAGATCTGCGGTTCGAGAAGAACGGGTGAGGTGGAAAGGGGCAGAGGCGGGAATGGAGAGGGTGGGGGAAAGTGGGGGGAGAAGATGGAGAGAGCGGGAAGAAAGGAAGGGTGGATGGAGAAGACAAAGGAAGGAGGAAGAAAACTGAAGATGAGTAGAAGACAAAGGAAGGAGGAAGAAAACTGAAGATGAGTAGAAGACAAAGGAAGGAGGAAGAAAACTGAAGATGAGTAGAAGACGAAGGAAGGAGGAAGAAAACTGAAGATGAGTAGAAGACGAAGGAAGGAGGAAGAAAACTGAAGATGAGTAGAAGACGAAGGAAGGGGGCACGAGTAGATGAAGCGGGAAAGCGGGGATGTGGAAAAGCACGGAGGGGGGATGGGGGAGCGGGGATGGGGCGGGGGGGGGGAGGAAGAGAGGAGAAGTGGGGGAAGAGTTGGAGAGAGCGGGGCAATGCAGTTGCCAGAACACCGCAAGAGCAACCGGATAGGAGGAAGTTGAGGTGGGGAAGGGGTTGGGAAAAAGCGGAGGAGAAGAGGATATGACGGTAACGCCGTGACGAAAGCTACCGGCCTCACCTGCTGCGTGCCGGCCGTTCGACTGGAGAACGTCGCGCGTGCGAAGCCATTCGCGAATGTCGCTAAGCGACCCTGGAAACGACGCCTCGACGTCTTCCATCGACTCCAGCACGCTGGCGACGGGGCAGTTACCCGAAATTGCAACAACCTTCCATGCGAAACTCTTTCCCGTCGGAGACGCGACGGCGAAAGCTGCGAGAGGCTTGACCGAAACTACTTCGCCGAGACCGATTTCGTTACCGCTAATCTCGATAACCTCTATCGGCCGCTCGTCGCCAGGCACATTTGGTAACTCATCGCAAGTATCGTCGGGATCCTGTCGCGTTTGGGGCAGCAGCCCGAGACTCCATGGGCAGTTTGTAGAATAATGTTTCGGAACAGCCGCAGAGACTATCGCACCCTCGCCAGCGCCTCCTGAGGACCCTCCTAAAGCGTCGAAGATTCCTGAAGTCGCGGAATCCAGGGACGTTGCGCATCTTAATGGGTTGTAATCTTCGGGAGCGAAATCGTGCGGAAGCCATGTCCCGGCGGGAGCGGCCGAGATGCAATGGAAGAGACAATCAGGGTCGTAAAGCGGGATATCGTGGCAAGGGGAGAGGATATGGCGGTGGGTCGAGTGGAGAAAAATCATACGAAAGGAGGACGAGCCGGGCGTGCCGAATTGTAAGGTTTCCCATTGTTTATCACGTGACGTCATTTTTATGAGGCGGACCGATGGGGTATGTGATCACAAGTTAGACTAAGACTCGAGAGACCGTGGCTTTTGTCTACCAAGAGTCAGTTCAAAAATAGAAAGTGATAGAAGACAGACGTGAGTTGAGAAAACAAGCTGGCGGAATTAACTGCTCTAAACAGGTGGTGTAGTGATCTAACGCTCCATCGAATTCTTGATGGAAGGGGGAGCTTTCGAGAATTATTACGGCGGTTCGATACGTTTCTTCGCGTGGCAGGACGGTTTATTTGGAATCTATAACTTTTTGGTGGAGTTCGGGTCGGACATACCCAACATGCCACTGCAATTCCTTGTTCCAGTGAGGCGAACATACAGCTGTCTTGTGGAAGATGTGGGGCGCGGAGAGGTAGGGGGAACGAGGGAAGAGAGTACAATGCGCAAAACGACAGTTTTGCTGGCAGGGGCCAACTTGAGGTCAAAGTTCTGCAACTTTCGTAATACACGAGCGAGCTTATCTGCGACAAGAAGAAAGAGTATCGTAGTGCTGTGACGACGAAACAAGGTAACCAACAGCTGTACGACGGAGGTGGTAGGTAAACAGCACACTTCCACTTCCACTTTCCCAAGAGGAGGCCACAGTGGTAATTTTCGGCTCATGATTCATGAATGGTGGTGGTTTTGCTCACGCCTAAAATTTATGACGTGGCATGCGGATCCACACCACACTGCGCCACCGATGATGCCCAACTTCCTCCCCCAAGAACAGTGCGAACGAAATTCTGGGACCAGATTTTCAAGGCTGGAATGAAACGGATGTCTCGTCGTTGCTCATAAACCCAAAATTAATGCAAAACAGAACGACAAATTTCGCGTGGCCATTCGCGTCAGCCAATAAGCTGTCAAAAACAGCTGGCAAATGAGCAGCTGGAGGCGGATGTACCGTACCGGCTATTCCCGCAAAAGTACGATTTCGCGGGAGGAATGATCGAATCAAAATGAGTGTGGTCTGCGCATGCTCGTTATAAGTACTTGGCTACCTAGATATCGGTAACTCACAATAGCACATCCTTTCAACTAGCTCTGAGAACAATTGCGTCTTAGCAAGTAATTGCTAGGGTGAAAGAAAGCCATGAGCTTTGTAAATGTGCAAGTGTGTCTGTTAAGGCACATAGGGGCCCTTAGATACGCATTCTTCCAAATACGCATCATTACAACACCATCAAACGGTAACAGAGACTTCATCACAAGGGGACACGAATGGCAACGTAACAAAGAACCATTACAAGAAAGAGGGGGAACACAAACGATGGGGAAGAATAAAAAGGTGGGGATGATAGACCTGTCAGTCACGAATGTGAGGGAAGGCATGAAATGAATGACAGGGGAGGAAGTGGGGCAGGGGGGGAGGGACAAGTCATGAGAGGAAATGAGAGGAAGAGTGAGAAAGGTATTACAAAGAGCAGCAAGGGAGAGGAGAAGCCTGACAAGGAATATAGGAATTGGAAAGGAACGAGTCCGGGGGAGAAGGGGAGAAGGTAAGCGCCTGGGAGGTTAGGAGAAGATGGAAATTCAGCAATAACAGGGACAAGAGAACGGAAGGATATTTAGAAAGAGAGCGGATGGGTGGAGGGGGGAGCGGAGGGGGAGGCAGAAGTTTATAGCAGGGAGGAGGAAGGGGGAGGGAGGGGGGGAGAAAAAGGAGGAGATTGGGGCAGGGAATGGACCTGGAAGTGAAGGGCAACGCCATTATTCATTTCACACATCCCTTAATAGAACGGCTATACGGGATCCGCTGGTGATACTAACTGTGCAAGGAATGTATACGAGGCAACGCTGATAACGTGACTGTAGCAAAATTATTATTATTGTTCTTCAACCTAGTATAATCCAACATATACCGCTAACGGGCATGTCACGAAACTGTAACCCTACCTTTTTACTCGTACGGGATCTGCATGTACGCCGCATCTGAGATAAACGGCACGTCAGCATACGTCCCGCGAATCGCGCACCAGATGCACTCGAGCACGATAAAGATAAACGCGACCGCAATAGCGAGCCAAAAGTGCGCGCCGATCTTCCCCCAGTAAATCGACTTGGGAATCCAATCATTCAGCGTCCCAACAACCTGGAGAATAATCTCCAGAAGCATCCCCGTGACCACGTGGAACCGCAGGAAATGCGGCCAGCGATTGTTCCTGACAACCCCAAGGTACGCTCCGAAGAAGTACGCAAGCATGAACCAGGAAGGGAGCAGACCCAGCAGCATCAGGAACGGCTGGCACAGCTGCTCGTATGTGAAGAGGAAATGGAAGAGCGATTGAGCCGTTTCGCTGTAGATCCACGCCTCGCAGAGCGGCAGCAGGTACGGAACGACGGCTGCGATTCGCCAGTACCACGCGGGCCGCGTCTGCATCGGCGGAAAGCCCTTGAACGCGGGGACGTCGCTGTCGCCATCCGCGGCTCTCACGGGGGAGACGCGCCGGCGGGGCGCGGATGGGGAGACGGCGGAAGGGGAGGCCTTGCGCAAGCGGAGGGAGTCCTGCTGGCCTAGGAAAGCGGAGGGATGCGCCGAGGGAGGAGCGGCGGAAGCTCGGAACGCGGGGTTGCGGGGGAAACTGGCCGTTGGTGTGACTGCCTGGCGCTGCGCTCTGCGTTGACACGTGGCCGAGAAGCTGATCTGCTGCGCTCCTGCCTGAGCGGATAGAACACTGCGGATAGTAGCCATGGCGGAATGCGTGTGAACACTAATGAGGTCTAGGCAGGTTATTCTGGAGATTAAAAGCACTCGCCTAGATGAAAACTCACGCGCGACTGATGCCGTACGCGAATACCGCGCGGAACGAGAGACTCGTCAAACGCCTTTCTCCCCGAGTCGGACTCTCCGAAGACTGAATGTCAGTTACCAGGTTCTAAACCCCTCACGCTAATTTAGGAATCGAACCAATTTCTGAAGCAAACACAGGAACACTTTGCAAGAGTAGCAAACGGTTGAGAACGGTGATTGCTCATGACAGAACAAATCCCTAAGGGCTGACGAGGACACAAATGTGATACTATCGAGGAAATTGACGAGTGTTCGAAATTGGCGAGGGTTGCTGCGGTTTGGGCGCACGCTATCCAAAAGGGCGGAAAGCCTGTCCACGTGGCGTGGAGAAATATGTCGCAGGTGATGATGTGGGGGAAAATATGCCGTTTGTAACCATCATGGGACTCGAAAACAGTTTTGGTAAAAAACAAAGGGTACGGTCACTGCAAAGGGTGTTTTCACGCGACTGATAACGCGTTTCACGGAATCAGTCACAATCAGCTGGGAAAAAAAAACGCGAATGGTCACAGATGAAACTCCCGCCAAAACAAAATGAAACCTAAAAAGAACCTAGATGCATTTTCGGATGATCAACCCTAAACACGTAGCTCGCCAGGTGTTTAGGGTTGATCCGTCCCAAACCGCATCCGATGCCGATTAGGTTTTATTTTTTTTACAAGTTCGCAGATTGGTTGGGCGCGAGCGGGAATCTTGTTGAGTTTCAAGTTTTTTTGGCGGGAGTTACATGTGTGACCATTCGTGTGATTTTTTACCTGTTGATAGTGACTGAATCCATGACCCCGCTTACCAAGCCCGTCAGAAAACCCGATACAGTGACCGTACGCGTTTTTTTACCATTCACGTTATCGAGTCCCGAGTTGGTTACTTGTGGCATATTTTCCCATGATGTGGAGGTGACAAAGGACGAAGCGCTACACCAAATTGGACAAAATGTAACGTTTCTACACTGGTACCTAATCTACACCACACGCCTACCAAAGCTGTTGTGGGGATCATGATTTATTAGATTCCTAAAAGAAAATACCGAGCTAATTCAAAAGGAAATTACCACGACACATAGCAGATGCAACACATCTGCCAAACAGGGAATCATTGTCCTGATGTGAAACTTATGCTCGCCGGCGTACATGAGGCTTCCGGACCTCATTCTTCCCACGGGAATCTGCGCCGGAGGCTCCCCACCCACCAGCAGCGCCTGGTGCTGCTGAGCTGTCGCCAGCTGCTGAGCCAGGTGTCGTACCCCCAGTGGCTGCCACTCCTGCAGCCAATTGCTGCAGCCTGAAACAGTTCAGCACACGTAAGAGAATGCACCCCGATAAGGACCAAAACTTACTTGAGCAGGGCTTTGAAGGTGCCAAAGAAAAACTGCAATCGCAAGCAGCTGGTTTCCAGGTGAACCAGAGGCACTTGCAGATGTTTCTGAACAAGAACCATATGGCTGATAGAAAGGCAGACCGCTGTCAAACCGCTGTCGAAGTCTATCGATGGTGCCTTGTAGCAACTTACTTGGGCAGAGATGCAACAACCGAGATGACTGCAATTGCAAGCAGCACTGGGAGAAGGGGGGTTGGTGCAAGGTCCTGGTGGGACATTGGGAAACAGGGAGATAAAAACAGGGGGACGAGATTGATACGACTCAAAGAGAAGACTCAAGAGATGACAGCGATTGCAAGCAGCACCGGGAGAAGCGGGGTTGGTGCAAGGTCCTGGTGGGCAGCAGGGATGCGGGAAGAGTGGTACGGTTTTGAACGGTTTTGAACGGTTTTGATATGACTGAAACAAACCTTCTAAAAGATGCAACAAGGACACACGATTCAAGTGCTATGGCAATCAACAAGATGGAGATAGGGAGAGGATTAAGGAACAGGACTATTCTGGGAAGTGAGTGTCAGCTGAATGATTCCCGCAAGAAACTAGTGAGTGTGGAGGGTAAATCAGGAGATTGGAATTGGGGTAGCAAACAAATAAATAAATTAATTTCGCAGCTGTAATTGGGAGCAAAGGCTCACCTCATTTGATCTACGCTCCTCGGCCCGGAAACGCAGCGTCCCCGCATGAGCTGTTACCGCCTCCCTCACATCCACCTCCCTGCCCTCGCTCTCAAACACGTGAGATTTTCCGGGCAGCCCGAGACGCAGTTTCACGAGGTACATGCCCCTGGGCAGGTCGCGAAACTCGAAGAATCGCGAGAGCGGGATGGGGATGGAGCGAATGGGAGTGGAAGAGAAGACGAGGAGAGTGGAAGCTTCCTCGAAGCTTCCATCTGCTCCTGCTGCCGCGCCATTGGTGCTGCTGCTGCTGCTGCTCGTACCAGTCCCCTCGTTATTGTCACTTGCGGGTACAGTCACGCTCGGGAAGAGATCGACAAAGAGGTTCGGCAACCACTTGGCTGTGTCTCTGCCGCTCACTGCCCCCGTTATAGTCACACCCGGGGGCGAGTTGAAGACCACAAAGTTGACGTCTGGGACATCGCCTGTGATTGTCTGGAGTTGTGAGTGTAGGGAAGGGGAGTGAGACGGGCGGGGAGGATGGAAAACAGGAAAGTTTTTTGCGGCTATGTCTCTGCCACTCACTGCCCCCGTTATAGTCACACTCGGGGGCGAGTTGAAGGCCACAAAGTTGACGTTTGGGATAGAAGAGAGGCACGTACCAGCAGAGCCTGGCTCGGCGATGCACGCTCGAATCGGCCTTAGCAGCACCAGCCCTCACTGCCACCTCCACCAGATAAGCCCCACCTGGTGACAGTGACACAGCCCCCTGAGCCCGCACAATGCACTAGAGGAGTGTGGGGGAGTGCGAGGAACGTACCAGCAGGGCCTGGTTCGGTGATGCGCAGGCGTCCTTAGCCGCACCGGCCCTCACTGCCACCTACATCCCATAAGCCTCTCCCGGCCACAGCCCCCTCAGCATGACCGCTATAAGAGATTAGGAGTCAGAAGAATGGAAGCGAGGGACGTACCAGCAGAGCCTGGTTCGGTGATGCACGCTCGAATCGAGGGAGTGAGGTGGAGTCCTTAGCAGCACCTGCCCTCACTGCCACCTCCACCAGATAAGACCCACCCGGCCGCAGCCCTCTCAGCCTGTACTCCCCATCCTCGTTTGTGACAGCCATCTCGTAGTGAGATGACTGTGATCCGCCTCCCCCAGATACCACCTCCCTCGCCTCCACCTGCACGCCTGCCTGTGGCGCTCCTGACAAAGAATGCACCGAACCCAGCACACTGAGCGAAAAATAGGGGGGAGGGGGTATGGGGAGGAGAGAGGAGAAAGGGCTCTTAGACAAAACATGAACTGATTCACCTGAAATCCACCTGAATGAACCCACATAAAAGACACCTGACATTTCAACTGAGAGAAACACACCTGACATTACACCTGAAAGTTGAACCTCACCTGAAGGCAACTCTCTTTGCAGTGAACGCCACGTCCACCTCCTGCCCGGACTGCAAATTGATTGGGCGGGCAGCCGGCGAAAACTCATACTCCTTCAGCACCGGCCGCAGGTAGTAGCTGCCCGGAAACAAACCCTCGAATGCGAAAACATTTTGCCCGGGTGATGTCGCCTCATTGCGCCTAAAGCTGGCGTCTCCGGTGAGTGAGAGGAGGACAGATGGCAGCGGCTCATTGGCCGTGGAAATTTCTGCTGACGTGGCGATTTTGACGGTGATTGAAGCGAGCTTTTGTGCTTCAAACGAGTTGTCTCCTAGCGCCTTGAAAACGTAGCCAGTCTGGTTGGGAGAACAAGGAGGGTGGTTGGTTGGAAGAGGGGGGAATTTGGTGAGGGGCAGCAGTCATCAGTCTTGGTGGACCAAAAGAAAAAAAGCTGCAGAAGGATGAAGAAATGCTGAAAGGGAACCCAAGCAGCAACAATGACATGTCAGAACTTGAGCTTAGAGTCCATGCATTAGTACTGAGCTCAAGGCTCTTTAAGTACATTGGAAATGGGCAAGGTAAGGGTGGAGAGAGAATCAGGGGCAATCCTAGGGGATTGGGGGTAATCCCAAGGCAATCTCCAATTGGTGGGTTGGAGATTGCTTGGAGATCACATTTGGGTTTGGTTGTGATGTGGGTGTACACCCAACCAAACACAAAGTGCACACTACACAAAGCTAGGATGTAAAAAGTACAAGTACAAATGTGAGATTGAGGGCTAACATTGACTGACAAGCAAAAAAAAGAAAGAAGGAAAGAAGAAAAAAAAACACCTTTTGAAGCTCCACATGGTAAGTGGCATCGTCGTTCAAAGGCCCCACCACAAACATCTCCCCTTCCACTGACTCAATACAGGGCAAGCGCCACACCCACAACAAGTGAAAAGAGCCGCACTCCATGCCTTGAGCCTCACCTTTTGCAGCTGCACGAGGTAAGTGGCATCGTCATTCAAAGGCCCGACCATGAACATCTCTCCTTCCACCTCACGAATTACAAAGAGCAGCACAGCACAAGCAGGATGGTTGAAGTACAAAGAGCCTCACCTTTTGCAGCTCCACATGGTAAGTGGCGTCGTCGTTCAACGGCCCCACCACAAACATCTCCCCTTCCACCCCTCCATGCTGCCTCCTCTCCCCACTCCCCTCCGCACTCCCCTCCGCACTCCCCTCCCCTTCCACCCCCCTCACCCGCCCCACAGTCTCAGCCCACATCACCATCTGCCCCTTCTGCCATCCCGCGTTCGCACTGTCAGCGTCAGCGACCACTGACACGTTGACACGTGGCAGAGGGGGGAACAGCCAGCCTGTGAGGTAAAGGCCGCGGCGAGCGTCGACGGTAGGCAGGGGAGGGGGACACTGCAGGGGAGCCACTTGCACCTGAAGGGAGGGGAAGGGAAGGGGGGGATTTGGGTTCTCGGGGGTGGGGTGTAAGGGTTGCAAAGGATGAGAACGGAACGGGGTAAAGAATATATCGATGTAGAGGAGGGAACAGCCAGCCTGTGAGGTAGAGTGCAGGGTTAATTAGGCTGCAGGCAGAGGAGGGGGGCACTTCAGGGGTGAGTCATCTGCCCCCTGGTGCAGCCTCCCCTGCTACCACCGATGCGCAAACCTCTACCCGTTCAAAGCGGATATGAATAATGAATGCATTGGTCCCATGTAACCAATCGACCCACCCACCCACGCACCTTGAGAGAGCGCGGGTAGAAGAGCAGGCGCCTGGGAGGCGGGAAGACCGGCGAGGCATCTGCCTTTGGCGGGGGCTCCTCTCGCTCCAATGTAGAAATGTGCGCGCTGAAGCGGGGAGGGGTAAAGGAAACGAGGGGGGGATGAGGGGAGAGTGGGAAACGAGAGATGGGTGGGAAGGGCGCTGCTTTGACTGACTGCCTCTAGAGCTGTTCCGCGCATGGCAGCGCCTCGAGCTTGATTCCCATGCAACCATCGAATTCCACACAAGCGTGCTCCTACCCTCCCGAAAGAACAAGCGTTCTACGCAAAGAACATTCACCTACTCCAGTGTCATTTTCAACCCATTGCTGCCACGTATTGCACCATGGCCGCTAAACGGGGCTCGATTGGACTCAAAACTAGAGCTATGAGGCATTGCAGAAATCGGCAGCTGCATGTCTCATAGCTCTAGTTTTGAGTCGACTGAAAACTTGACTTATCGCACCTGGCGGTGCCTCGAGCTTTGTTCTCAAAGGCATTGCACTCACCCTCTGGCGATAATTTCTTTCAGTGCCTGCGCCTCTGACTCAAACGTATCCTGCAGCATATTGTTCGCCTTTCAGGAACCCCTCATCCCCCTCCCATAAGGCAACATTAAGGACACTCACCCTCGGGCGATCAATGCTTGCAGTGCCTGGGCCTCTGACTCAAACATAGCCTACAGCATGTTGTTCGCCCTTCAGGAACCCCTCATCCTCCTCCCACAAGGCAACATAAAGGACTCACCCCTGGGCGATGAGTGTTTTTAGCGCCTGCGCCTCTGACTCAAACATATCCTGCAGCATCTTGTTTGCCCACTCAAGGTCATACTCGCCCTCACCCTCATCCTCCCCTCCCTCTTCATGACCGTGAAGCACACATAAAGATCACTCACCCTCTGGCAATAAATGTTTTCAGCGCCTGCGCCTCTGATTCAAACATATCCTGCAGCATCTTGTTCGCCCACTCAAGGTCATACTCGCCCTCGCCCTCGCCCTCATCCTCCCCTCCCTCTGCCTCACCCTCACTCTCTCCTTCTCCCTCACCCTCGCTCGCACCCTCCCCTCCCTCCTCTTCAACTCTTGTAAAATCCATCCCTCTGCTTCCCAGCCCCTTCTCTCCTTCTTCTTCCCCTCCACCCTCCCCAGACCTCTTTCCTTCCTCCACTTCCTCCCCTCCCTCCTTCTCTCCCTCTTTTGTCCTTTTCCCAGCGAGACGAAGAATGTGAGTCACGTAATTGACGTCTATATCCACTTTGCCGGCCACATATAGTTGGCTATACTCCTCGTCTAAAGAATCGATTTCCTCGTCTGTCAGGCCGTGTGAACGAAGCGCGTCTTTATCTGCTGCTGCCGCCCTGCAAATGTTTTGGCAGGTAGGCGGGCAGACAGATAGAGACAAAGGCTTGTGGATTAATGGGGTGTTTAAGATTCCAGAACCGGTTTTGGTTTTGTGGCAGCGAAGTGTGACTTTATCTGCTGCTGCCGCCATGTAACACTGTTGTTGTCAGTCCAGAGTAGCCATTGTGAAATCACTGTACAATCTGCAGAGGTTTCGGCATGCAGGCAGGCAGACACGGGGTTGCGAAGGTTTTGGCAAGCTTTTGTGTGAGCAAAGAGTGTCTGTGTATGCTGCTGCCAACCTGCACAGGTTTCGGCAGGCAGGCAGGCAGACACGGGGTTTTTAATAATTTTCTAGCTCTTCAAAGATTTGTTGAAGGGCTTTTCTTTTTGTGTGAGTGAAGAGTGCCTATGTCTGCTGCTACCGCCCCGCACAAACTGTGGAAGGCAGACAGGCGGACACACACAGGGTATCGTTGAATCTTGAGGTCTCAAGATTTGATTTCGTTGTCTGACTGGCCGTGGGAGCAGAACGTGCTTTGTCTGCTCCTGCTAACCCTCACATTTTAGGGAGTTTTTGAGAATTCTCAAAAACTCCCTGGGAGCAGAACGTGCTTTGTCTGCTCCTGCCAACCCTCACATTTTCTGGCGGGTAGTTAGAAGCGGCCAGAGACCAGGGAGAGGGTCGAGAGGGAAAGCAGGGAGCAGCGAGTGAGGAAGGAGAGAGAGAAGAGGGAAGCAGGGAGGAAGGAGGGAGGAAGTACAGGAGCAAACACCAAGAGAACCTACCTTTTGAGGGCATCAGCAACATCATCCAGGGTCGATCCATCATCTCCCACCCCTCCATCGTGATACCACCCCAGCAGCAGCTCTCCCCCTCCTGCCACCCAATGCTCTTGCGCATACACCGCCACCGGGTGTGTGGCATTGGGGGCAGAGACGAGGGAGAGAGGCGTGCGGGAGAGCAGGGAGCCGTTGGTGGGGCTGAAGAGGCGGGCAGAGGCGTGGGGGGCGACGGAGGCTGCAGAGGGGAAGAGGGAGGCGTTCACTCGGACTAGCCCTGAGACCCTGTAGGCTGATGGGCGCAGACGAATCACCTGAAAAAGGGAGGGGTGTGAGGGAGAAGGAAGAGGAGGGAGGTGTGAGGGAGAGGGGTGAGAAGGAGAGGGTAAGAGAGGCATGGGGGGAAGGGAATGAGGAAAAAGGGAGAGAGGGAGAGCAGGGAGCCGTTGGTGGGGCTGAAGAGGCGGGCAGAGGTGTGGGGGGCGATAGAGGCTGCAGAAGGGAAGAGAGTCGCGTTCACTTGGACTAGTCCGGATACCCTGTAGGCTGACGACCGCAGATGAATCACCTGAGGGGAATTGGTGGGAAGAAGGTGGGTGGGCGGGAAGGGAGGGGGAGGAGGGCGTGAGATATCAAAGAGGGATGCGTTCACTCGCAGCAGTCCAGATACCCTGTAGGCTGAAGGGCGCAAACAGATTTTTGAGTCGACTCAAAAGAGGTGACTTTTGAGTCGACTCAAAAGTCACCTCGCAGCAGTTTGGATACCCTGTAGGCTGACGGGCGCAGGCAGATGAATAAACGCCCTCCTCGCCGTACATGGCGCAAGGGTCAGCGCAGATCAGGCTGTAAATCAGATGGCTCAGACATTTGAGTCGACTCAAAAGCTGACATTTGAGTCGACTCAAAAGCTGACATTTGAGTCGACTCAAAAGTCGCACGGGTCAGAGCAGGGCAGCCTGTAAATAAGATGCTCAGACATTACATGCCACATTACATGCGCTCAGTCTCTCTCACCTTTACTTCCTGTGTGTGGTAATAAACGCCCTCCTCGCCATACATAGCGCACAAGTCAAGGAAGCGGAGGCTGTAGCTGCCGCTGGCCGCCACACGAGCCAGGGAGTCAGGCCATATATGTTGCATGAGATCATGCTTCTCACCTTCACCTCCTGCGTGTGGTAGTAAACACCCTCCTCGCCGTACATGACGCACGAGTCAGGGAAGCGCAGGCTGTAGCTGCCACTGGCTGCCACACACACGTGCTGCAGCCCCTTCTGCACAACCACAGGGGGAGGGGAAGGAGGGGGTGCAGGGAAAGGATTGTTAACGGCGCATGAGTCAGGGAAGCGGAGGCTGTAGCTGCCACTGGCCGCCACACACACGTGCTGCAGCCCCTTCTGCACGACCACAGGGGGAGGGGAAGGGGGATGTGGGATGGGGGAATGGGGGAAGGATTGTCAACGGCGCACGAGTCAGGGAAGGGAAGCGGAGTCTGTAGCTGCCACTGGCTGACACACACACGTGCTGCAGCCCCTTCTGCAAAGCACAGCCACAGGGGGTGGGGGGGGAGAGAGACTGGATGCCTGAAACTTGAAAAACGCCCACCCTGAGACCAACACATGGGCGCGCACTTGATTCACCAGTTTAGCTTACCTTGAGAGCCTGACAGCTGGCAGCGGCGTTTCCCCGTGCACCAGGCTGACTGTATCCTCCATCCCTGCATCAATCGATCTCCACCCTCCACCCACCCCAAAGCGGACTAGCAGCATCTATCGCCACCCACCTCCAACGCATTCAACCGCTTTGCACACCTTGAGCTTGACAGCAGGCAGGGCCGTCTCCCCGTGCACCATGCTGACTGTATCCTCCATCGCTGCGTCGATCTCCACCCTCCATCCGCTCTGCTCCAGCGCCACGCCCACCACGGACGAATCGGAGACCGCCACATCAGCGGACTGTGTCTTCCAGCACCACTCGTCGCCCGCCATGTCACTCCCCTGAATCACCTGCTTGGATGCCTGGTGGGGGGAGGGAGGGGAGGGAGGTGGGAAGGGGGGATGAGGGTTTTGGGAAGAGTGGGGTGGGTGGGGTAACAAAGGCCACGCGTCGCCCGCCATGCCACTCCCCTGGATCACCTGCTTGGACGCCTGGTGGTGAAGGGGGAGGGGAGAATGCGTGGGGAGGAGGTTGTGGGGGGAGGAGGGGATGGCAAAGGGGGAACACCAGAGAAGAGGAGACTATAATGTATTTCGTCGAGGGGAAAGAGGCAACCATTGCCACTCCTCGCCCGCCATTTCACTTCCTTAGATCATCTGCTTGGATGCCTGGTGGGGAGGGTAGGGACGGCGGCACGGGGGTTCGAGGGTGTTGGGAGGTGTGAGATGGAAGTACCAAAACCCACTCTTCATCTGCCATGTCGCTTCCTTGGATCATCTGCTTGGATACATGAAAAACGGAAAGTGGGAATGCGTGCAGTTAGTTATGAGAGCATAAACACTGCAAAAAAAAAAAAAATGTACATGTGTACATACACATATGTATATATATCCACTCAAGATTTATAGCTTCTACACTCGGTCATCCAATAGACTCACCTCGATTCTGTATTTCCCAGGTACCACTTTCTCAAACAGAAACGACCCATCTTTCTCCTTCAAGAAAACCGATCGAGAAGCAGCGCCGGCAGCAGCAGCGGCAGCAGCAGCAGAATCAGCAGATCCCGTCAATGGTCCGATGCGAGCGAGGGAGACTCGGACGGAGCGATCGCAGCCGTCGATGCAGATCACGCGGCCGGAAACGGAGAGATGCGATTGGTTGAAGGAGACTCCTGTGACAGGCTTGGATGTGACTGTAACGGTGGCGAGGGCAGGGGCGAAGGCCAGCCCTGCTGCTGCCTCAGCCGGTAGGACGTGTGGGGCGAGCTGATAGGTGCCTGGAGGGACCTGGAAGGAGGGAAGGAGAGGAAGGAGTGGAAGGACAAGGGATGTGACTGCAAGACGGTGGCGAAAGGAGGGGCGAAGGCCAGCCCTGCTGCTGCCTTGGCTGGTAGCACGTGTGGGGCGAGCTGGTAGGTGCCTGGGGGGACCTGGAGGGAAGACAGGGGAGCAACAAAGGAATGTAAAGCGGTGGCAAAGGAAAGGGGGGAAGGCGGGCCCTGCTGCTTTTGAGTCGACTCAAAAGCGGTGGCGAAGGAAAGGGGGGAAGGCGGGCCCTGCTGCTTTTGAGTCGACTCAAAAGCGGTGGCGAAGGAAAGGGGGGAAGGCGGGCCCTGCTGCTTTTGAGTCGACTCAAAAGCGGTGGCGAAGGAAAGGGGGGAAGGCGGGCCCTGCTGCTGCCTCCACTGGTACGACGTGTCGGGCGAGCTGATAGGTGCCTGGGGGGGAGCTGGAGGGAAGAGAGAAAGGAGGCAGAGAACAGAGGACAGTTGAGTGAGTGAGGCAAGACAAAGGACATAAGAGTGATGTGGGCAAGCGAGGGGAAGGGGGCGACGAGGAGGAGAGGCATCCCTGCTGCTGCCTCTCCTGGTTGCACGTTGTAAAAGCCGCGTGAACTGAGGCGATTTTTTAGGCGCCTCAAAAATCGTTGTTGAGACGTCTCAAGAACTCTCTTTTATCACGTGAAGGGGCGAGGAGGAGGAGGTACATCCCTGCTGCTGCCCCTGCTGGTGGCACGTTGGGGGCGAGCAAAAGGGGGCGAGCTGGTAGGTACCTGGGAGAACCTGGAGGGAGGAGAGGGGGTGAGGAAACGAAAAGCTGATACCCAAGACTGAAGATCGAAGTCGTGCAGGGAGCTCACCACTAAACACACCCTCCTCCCATTCACACTCCCATTCACATCGGTTCCCGTTTTTTGTAGAATGCTAAAAACAGATGCAGCCTCAAAAGTGTCTGAACATCACAACCATGCGCCTAAGCTCACCATGAAGCCAAGCACACCCTCCATTCTGCATCCGTCTTCTTGGCTTGTCGTGACACCTCCCTCCTTCCCCCTCGCTCCCTCAGACACCACTACAGAACAACAAGGTTGGTTACAACAGCCATATAGCTGAACTCACCATGAGGCACACTTTCCCATCTGCATCTGTCTTCTTGGCTTGCGGCGACACCTCCTCCCCTCCCCATCCAGTCAGCGCCACCTGCCTGCCGCCCGCTTGGAACGCCGACTGTCAAGAGCCATTGCGACGCTCACCATGAAGCACACTTTCCCATCTGCATCCGTCTTCTTGGCTTGTGGTGAGACCCCCTCCCCTCCCCTTCCCTCACAGGAATCAAAATTCCCAGCCATTGAACTCACCATAAAGCACACTCTCCCATCAGCATCCGTCTTCTTCGCCTGAGGCACCACCTCCTCCCCTCCCCGTCCAGTCAGCGCCACCTGTCTGCCGCCCGCTTGGAACGCCGACCCGTCGTCCAATAGCGTGGCGACACACAGCTCGTAGTGCGAGGCGCGGAGAGGGGGCAGGAGGGAGGCGGAGGGGACGATGGAGAGGGCGGGGAGGGGCGTGAAGGCGTAGCGCGGCTTGGTGGCGGACAGGGCGTACTGGCCTGATGTTATCTGGTGCAGGCTGTACTGACCCTGCTTGTTGGGGGAAGAGAGGCAGGTGGGTAAGGGAAGCACTGGAATCAGATGGCAAGTGGAGGTTTTGGTGGCGGACAGGGCGTACTGGCCCGGTGTTATCTGGTGCAGGCTGTACTGTCCCTGCTTGTTCGTAAAGGAGGAGAGGAGGAAAATGGGGTGGGAAAGAGTGGGGGCGAGGGAGAAGTAGTGTCAGAACTGCAAAACAAAGAAGGTCGTTTTTGAGGCGCCTCAAAAACGACCTCAATGAAAGGGGGGTGGGGAAGAGTGGGGGCGGGGGAGAGGGAGTGTCAAATCGTCAAAACAAAGAAAGAAAGTGGTGAGGAAGCAGGGAGTGAGCAAGCGCCTGGACGTCTGTGTGTAGTGAGGTGTATTTTGAGGCGCCTCAACATACACCTCACTCCACAAAGAAAGTGGTGAGGAAGCAGGGAGTGAGCAAGCGCCTGGACATCTGTGACATTTGAGTCGACTCAAAAGTGAACTGGGAAGCAGGCCGGGAGTGAGCGCTCACGCCTGGGCGTCTGTGACGGCGCGTGAATTGCCGTTGATTGAGAAGAAGCACCTTTCTTGTACACCCACACCACCACCAACTATACCGGCCCATATTGCTTTTCCACCGCACTGCACCTGGGCGTCTGTGACGGCGCGCGGCTGGCCGTTGAGCAGCACTGTTGCTCCCTCCACGCCCTCCCCTGCACTGTCCTCCATGCGTCCAGATACAGAGAACCCGCGGACCTGAAGGAGAGAGAAGGGGGCAAGAAAGGGGGGAGAGAGGACGAGGGTTACTGGGAAGTTACAGTTCCTCTGTTGCTCCCTCCACTCCCCTGCACTGTCCTCCACGCGTCCAGATACAGAGAACCCGCAGACCTGGGGGAAAGAGAAGGGGCGAGAGAGAGGGGAGAGAGGACGAGGGTTACTGGGAAGTTACAGTTCCTCTGTTGCTCCCTCCACACACCCTCCCCTGCGCTGTCCTCCACGCGTCCAGATACAGAGAACCCGCAGACCTGGGGGAAAGAGAAGGGGCGAGAGAGGGGGGAGAGAGGACGAGGGTTACTGGGAAGTTACAGTTCCTCTGTTGCTCCCTCCACACACCCTCCCCTGCGCTGTCCTCCACGCGTCCAGATACAGAGAACCCGCAGACCTGGGGGAAAGAGAAGGGGCGAGAGAGGGGGGAGAGAGGACGAGGGTTACTGGGAAGTTACAGTTCCTCTGTTGCTCCCTCCACACACCCTCCCCTGCGCTGTCCTCCACGCGTCCAGATACAGAGAACCCGCAGACCTGGGGGAAAGAGAAGGGGCGAGAGAGGGGGGAGAGAGGACGAGGGTTACTGGGAAGTTACAGTTCCTCTGTTGCTCCCTCCACACACCCTCCCCTGCGCTGTCCTCCACGCGTCCAGATACAGAGAACCCGCAGACCTGGGGGAAAGAGAAGGGGCGAGAGAGGGGGGAGAGAGGACGAGGGTTACTGGGAAGTTACAATTCCTCTCTGTTGCTCCCTCCACGCCCTCCCCTGCCATGTCCACGACGCGTCCAGATACAGAGAACCCGCGGACCTGAAGGAGAGGGAGGAGGGCGAGAGGAAGGGGAGGAGGAGGAAGGTTAGTGTGGAGTTGCAATCAACTCCCCTGCCATGTCCTCCACGCGTCCAGATACGGACAACCAGCGTCCATGCAGGGAAAGAGATGGAGAGAGGAGGGAGAGAGGAGGGAGAGGGGAGGAAGAGAGAAGGGAGAGGGGAGGGAGAGAGGAGGAAGGCTAATGGAATTCACAATCACCTGGGAAGGTGCTACCTGGGAAAGTGTTACCTGGGAAGGTGTTACCTGGGAAGGTGTTACCTGGAACAGCTCTGCTGTAACAGCATCAGCTTGCCCCCACCACCACTGCCATCTCCTTAGCCACCATCTCAAACACCGTCGCCTCGCCCTTGTACTGGGGGACTCAACCCATCACTGATACCACAAAAGGTGCTACCTGGGAAGGTGTTACTTGAACGGCTCTGCAGTAGCAGCATCAGCATACCCCACCGCCACTGCCATCTCCTTGGGCGCCACATCAAACACCATCACCTCCAGTGGCCCACAAGGCAGGTGCTTCTTGACAAGCAGGGTCTCACCTGGAGCGGCTCTGCAGCAGCAGCGGCGTCAGCATGCCCCACCGCCACCCCCATCTCCTTGGGCGCCATCTCAAACAGCAGCAGCACTCACTATCACTGCCATCTCCATTGTACTGCGGGACCAACGCAGCAACACGCCCATGCCTTCCCACTCACTACCACTGCCATCTCCTTACCTGGAACGGCTCTGCTGTAGCAGCATCAGCATGCCCCACCGCCACCCCCATCTCCTTGGGCGCCATCTCAAACACCATTGCCTCTCCCTTGCATTCAGGGACCAGTGGGACCAATGCGGCAGCACTCTCATTCCTTCCCACTCACTACCACTGCCATCTCCTTACCTGGAACGGCTCTGCTGTAGCAGCATCAGCATGCCCCACCGCCACTGCCATCTCCTTGGGTGCCATCTCAAACACCGTTGCCTCGCCCTTGTACTGGGGGACCAATGAGAACGCGCCACATGGCAGCTCGCGGAACGAGAACCGCCCGTCCGCTGCCGTGGTGGTGTGGCAGAGCGGAGTTTTTCCGGGCAGCGGAGAGCTGCCCGGGCCGGCCGGGCAGGTGGGAATCTTTTGAACGGAGTCGGAGAAAAGGAAGATCTGCACTCCTGGGACTGGGTTATTCTGTGTGGGAAACCGGGGGGGGAGGGGGGAATGGGGAAAGGTGAAGGGTGCAGTGGGGTGGGGTAAGGTGAGGTGGGGTGAAGTCGGAGAAAAGGAATATCTGCACTCCTGGGACTGGGTTTTCCTGTGTGGGAGGAAAGGGGAGGAATGGGGAAGGGGAAGGGTGCAGTGGTGTGGAGTGTGGAGTGGAGTGGGTTGGGGTGGGTTAAGGTGGAATTGAAGAAAAGGATTTTCCGCACTCCTCAGACAAGATTTTTCTGTTGCACAGGATAAAGGGAGGGGAAGAGGGGGAGGGCTGGAGGAGGAGGGAAGAGGAGGAGGGAAGAGGAGGCGGGTACTTGGTCCATGCGCGCGCCCTGGTCCGCGCGTGAGCCCTGGTCCGCGCGTGAGCCCTGGTCCGTGCGTGAGCCCTGGTCCGCGCGCGCGCCCTGGTCCGCGCGCGCGCCTCACTTGGCCCCCGCGCGCGCGCGCGCGCGCCTTACTTGGCCTGCGCGCGCGCGCGCGCTTCACTTGGCCCGCGCGCGCGCGCGCCTTACTTGGCCCCCGCGCGCGCGCGTCTTACTTGGCCCCCGCGCGCGCGCGTTTCACTTGGCCCCTGCGCGCGCGCGTTTCACTTGGCCCCCGCGCGCGCGCCCCACTTGGCCCGCGCGCGCGAGCTCTACTTGGCCCACGTGCGCGCGCACGCGTCACTTGGCGCGCGCGCGCGCGCCTCACTTGGCCCAACGCGCCTCACTTGGCGCCTCGACCAACGCGCGCGCGCCTGGACCAACGCGCGCGCGCCTGGACCAACGCGCGCGCCTGGACCAACGCGCGCGCGCCTGGACCAGCGCGCGCGCGCCTGGACCAGCGCGCGCGCGCCTGGACCAGCGCGCGCGCGCCTGGACCAGCGCGCGCGCGCCTGGACCAGCGCGCGCGCCTGGACCAACGCGCGCGCGCCTGGACCAACGCGCGCGCCTGGACCAGCGCGCGCGCGCGCCTGGACCAACGCGCGCGCCTGGACCAACGCGCGCGCGCCTGGACCAACGCGCGCGCGCCTGGACCAACGCGCGCGCCTGGACCAACGCGCGCCCCTGGACCAACGCGCGCGCCTGGACCAACGTGCGCGCGCCTGGACCAACGCGCCTCACTTGGCCCAACGCGCCTCACTTGGCCCAACGCGCCTCACTTGGCGCCTCGACCAACGCGCGCGCGCCTGGACCAACGTGCGCGCGCCTGGACCAACGCGCGCGCCTGGACCAACGCGCGCGCCCGGACCAACGCGCGCGCCCGGACCAACGCGCGCGCCCGGACCAACGCGCGCGCCCGGACCAACGCGCGCCCCTGGACCAACGCGCGCCCCTGGACCAACGCGCGCGCCTGGACCAACGCGCGCGCCTGGACCAACGCGAGCCCCTGCACCGATGCGCGCCCTTGGACCGACGCGCGCGCCTGGACCAACGCGCGCGCCTGGACCGACGCGCGCCCCGGGACCAACGCGCGCGCCTGGACCAACGCGCGCGCGCCTGGACCGACGCGCGCGCCTGGACCAACGCGCGCGCGCCTGACCAACGCGCGCGCCTGGACCAACGCGCGCGCCTGGACCAACGTGCGCGCGCCTGGACCAACGCGCCTCACTTGGCCCAACGCGCCTCACTTGGCCCAACGCGCCTCACTTGGCGCCTCGACCAACGCGCGCGCGCCTGGACCAACGTGCGCACGCCTGGACCAACGCGCGCGCCCGGACCAACGCGCGCGCCCGGACCAACGCGCGCGCCCGGACCAACGCGCGCGCCCGGACCAACGCGCGCCCCCGGACCAACGCGCGCCCCCGGACCAACGCGCGCCCCGGGACCAACGCGCGCGCCTAGACCAACGCGCGCGCCTGGACCAACGCGCGCCCCGGGACCAACGCGCGCCCCTGGACCAACGCGCGCGCCTGGACCAACGCGCGCGCCTGGACCAACGCGCGCGCCTGGACCAACGCGCGCCCCTGGACCAACGCGCGCGCCTGGACCAACGCGCGCACCTGGACCAACGTGCGCGCGCCAGGACCAACGCGCCTCACTTGGCCCAACGCGCCTCACTTGGCCCAACGCGCCTCACTTGGCGCCTCGACCAACGCGCGCGCGCCTGGACCAACGTGCGCGCGCGCCTGGACCAACGCGCGCGCCCGGACCAACGCGCGCGCCCGGACCAACGCGCGCGCCCGGACCAACGCGCGCGCCCGGACCAACGCGCGCGCGTGGACCAACGCGCGCCCCTGGACCAACGCGCGCCCCTGGACCAACGCGCGCCCCTGGACCAACGCGCGCGCCTGGACCAACGCGCGCCCCTGGACCAACGCGCGCCCCTGGACCAACGCGCGCCCCTGGACCAACGCGCGCGCCTGGACCAACGCGCGCCCCTGGACCAACGCGCGCCTGGACCAACGCGCGCGCGCCTGGACCAACGCGCGCGCGCCTGGACCAACGCGCGCGCGCCTGGACCAACGCGCGCGCGCCTGGACCAACGCGCGCGCGCCTGGACCAACGCGCGCGCGCCTGGACCAACGCGCGCGCGCCTGGACCAACGCTGCGCGCGCCTGGACCAACGCGCGCGCGCCTGGACCAACGCGCGCGCGCCTGGACCAACGCGCGCGCGCCTGGACCAACGCGCGCGCGCCTGGACCAACGCGCGCGCGCCTGGACCAACGCGCGCGCCTGGACCAACGCGCGCGCCTGGACCAACGCGCGCGCCTGGACCAACGCGCGCGCCTGGACCAACGCGCGCTCCTGGACCAACGCGCGCCCTTGGACCAACGCGCGCGCCTGGACGAACGCGCGCGCCTGGACGAACGCGCGCGCCTTGACCGACGCGCGCGCGCCTGGACCGACGCGCGCGCGCGGACCGACGCGCGCGCGCGGACCGACGCGCGCGCGCCTGGACCAACGCGCGCGCCGGACCAACGCGCGCGCCCGGACCAACGCGCGCCCCTGGACCAACGCGCGCCCCTGGACGCGCGCGCGCCCCTGGACCAACGCGCGCGCGCCTGGACCAACGCGCGCGCCTTGACCAACGCGCGCGCCTCGACCAACGCGCGCGCCTGGACCAACGCGCGCGCCTTGGTCCGCGCGCGCGCCTTGGTCCGCGCGCGCGCCTTGTTCCGCGCGCGCGCTTTGGTCCGCGCGCGCGCCTTGGTCCGCGCGCGCGCCTTGGTCCGCGCGCGTGCCTTGACCACCGCGCGCGCCTCGACCAAGGCGCGCGCGCCTGGACCAACGCGCGCGCCTGGACCACCGCGCGCGCCTCGACCACCGCGCGCGCCTGAACCAACGCGCGCGCCTGAACCAACGCGCGCCCCTGGACCAACGCGCGCGCCTGGACCAACGCGCGCGCCTGGACCAACGCGCGCGCCTGGACCAACGCGCGCGCTTGGACCAACGCGCGCCCTTGGACCAACGCGTGCCCTTGGACCAACGCGCGCGCCTGGACCAACACGCGCGCGCCTGGACCAACGCGCGCGCCTGGACCAACGCGAGCCCCTGCACCGATGCGCGCCCTTGGACCGACGCGCGCGCCTGGACCAACGCGCGCGCCTGGACCGACGCGCGCCCCGGGACCAACGCGCGCGCCTGGACCAACGCGCGCGCGCCTGGACCGACGCGCGCGCCTGGACCAACGCGCGCGCGCCTGACCAACGCGCGCGCCTGGACCAACGCGCGCGCCTGGACCAACGTGCGCGCGCCTGGACCAACGCGCCTCACTTGGCCCAACGCGCCTCACTTGGCCCAACGCGCCTCACTTGGCGCCTCGACCAACGCGCGCGCGCCTGGACCAACGTGCGCACGCCTGGACCAACGCGCGCGCCCGGACCAACGCGCGCGCCCGGACCAACGCGCGCGCCCAGACCAACGCGCGCGCCCGGACCAACGCGCGCGCCCGGACCAACGCGCGCCCCGGGACCAACGCGCGCCCCTGGACCAACGCGCGCCCCGGGACCAACGCGCGCGCCTAGACCAACGCGCGCGCCTGGACCAACGCGCGCCCCTGGACCAACGCGCGCCCCTGGACCAACGCGCGCGCCTGGACCAACGCGCGCGCCTGGACCAACGCGCGCGCCTGGACCAACGCGCGCCCCTGGACCAACGCGCGCGCCTGGACCAACGTGCGCGCGCCTGGACCAACGCGCCTCACTTGGCCCAACGCGCCTCACTTGGCCCAACGCGCCTCACTTGGCCCAACGCGCCTCACTTGGCGCCTCGACCAACGCGCGCGCGCCTGGACCAACGTGCGCGCGCCTGGACCAACGCGCGCGCCCGGACCAACGCGCGCGCCCGGACCAACGCGCGCGCCCGGACCAACGCGCGCGCCCGGACCAACGCGCGCGCGTGGACCAACGCGCGCCCCTGGACCAACGCGCGCCCCTGGACCAACGCGCGCCCCTGGACCAACGCGCGCCCCTGGACCAACGCGCGCCCCTGGACCAACGCGCGCGCCTGGACCAACGCGCGCGCCTGGACCAACGCGCGCGCCTGGACCAACGCGCGCGCCTGGACCAACGCGCGCGCGCCTGGACCAACGCGCGCGCGCCTGGACCAACGCGCGCGCCTGGACCAACGCGCGCGCCTGGACCGACGCGCGCGCCGGGACCGACCAACGCGCGCGCCCGGACCGACCAACGCGCGCGCCCGGACCGACCAACGCGCGCGCCCGGACCGACCAACGCGCGCGCCCGGACCGACCAACGCGCGCGCCCGGACCGACCAACGCGCGCGCCCGGACCGACCAACGCGCGCGCCCGGACCGACCCACGCGCGCCCCTGGACCAACGCGCGCGCCTGGACCAACGCGCGCCCCTGGACCAACGCGCGCCCCTGGACCAACGCGCGCCCCTGGACCAACGCGCGCCCCTGGACCAACGCGCGCCCCTGGACCAACGCGCGCCCCTGGACCAACGCGCGCCCCTGGACCAGCGCGCGCCCCTGGACCAGCGCGCGCGCCTGGACCAAGGCGCGCGCGCCTGGACCAGCGCGCGCGCCTGGACCAACGCGCGCGCCTGGACCAACGCGCGCCCCTGGACCAACGCGCGCCCCTGGACCAACGCGCGCGCTTGGACCAACGCGCGAGCCTGGACCACCGCGCGCGCCTGGACCAACGCGCGCGCCTGGACCAACGCGCGCCCCTGGACCAACGCGCGCCCCTGGACCAACGCGCGCGCCTGGACCAACGCGCGCGCCTGGACCAACGTTGCGCGCCTGGACCAAACGCGCGCGCCTGGACCGACGCGCGCCCCTGGACCAACAAGCGCCCCTGGACCAATGCGCGCCACTGGACCAACGCGCGCGCCTGGATCAACACGCGCGCGCCTGGACGAACGCGCGCGCCTGGACCAACGCGCGCCCCTGGACCGACGCGCGCCCTTGGACCGACGCGCGCCCTTGGACCAACGCGCGCGCCAAGACCAACGCGCGCGCCTGGACCAACGCACGCGCCTGGACCAACGCGCGCCCCTGGACCAACGCGCGCGCCTTGACCAACGCGCGCGCCCCTGGACCGACGCGCGCGCCTGGACCAACGCGCGCGCGCCTCGACCAACGCGCGCGCCTGGACCAACGCGCGCGCCTGGACCAACGCGCGCGCCTGGACCAACGCGCGCGCGCCCGGAACAACGCGCGCGCCGGACCAACGCGCGCGCCCGGACCAACGCGCGCGCCCGGACCAACGCGCGCCCCTAGACCAACGCGCGCCCCGGGACCAACGCGCGCCCCTGGACCAACGCGCGCGCCTGGACCAACGCGCGCGCCTGGACCAACGCGCGCGCGCCTGGACCAACGCGCGCGCCTGGACCAACGCGCGCGCCTGGACCAACGCGCGCGCCTGGACCAACGCGCGCCCCTGGACCACCGCGCGCGCCTTGACCAACGCGCGCGCGCCTGGACCGACGCGCGCCCCTGGACCAACGCGCGCGCGCCTTGACCAACGCGCGCGCCTGGACTGACGCGCGCGCCTGGACCAACGCGCGCGCGCCTGGACCAACGCGCGCGCCGGACCGACGCGCGCGCCTGGACCAACGCGCGCGCCGGACCGACGCGCGCGCCTGGACCAACGCGCGCGCCCAGACCAACGCGCGCGCCGGACCAACGAGCGCGCCCGGACCAACGCGCGCGCCCGGACCAACGCGCACGCCTAGACCAACGCGCGCCCCTGGACCGACGCGCGCGCCTTGACCAACGCGCGCGCGCCTGGACCGGCGCGCGCGCCTGGACCAATGCGCGCGCGCCTGGACCAACGCGCTCGCCTCGACCAACGCGCGCGCCTGGACCAACGCGCGCGCCTGGACCAGCGCGCGCGCGCCTGGACCAACGCGCGCGCCGGACCAACGCGCGCGCCCGGACCAACGCGCGCGCCCGGACCAACGCGCGCGCCCGGACCAACGCGCGCGCCCGGACCAACGCGCGCGCCCGGACCAACGCGCGCGCCCGGACCAAACGCGCGCGCCCGGACCAACGCGCGCGCCGGACCCACGCGCGCGCCGGACCGACGCGCGCGCCCGGACCAACGCGCGCCCCCGGACCAACGCGCGCGCCCGGACCAACGCGCGCGCCCGGACCAACGCGCACGCCTAGACCAACGCGCACGCCTAGACCAACGCACGCCTAGACCGACGCGCACGCCTTGACCAACGCGCGCGCGCCTGGACCGGCGCGCGCGCCTGGACCAATGCGCGCGCGCCTGGACCAACGCGCTCGCCTCGACCAACGCGCGCGCCTGGACCAACGCGCGCGCCTGGACCAGCGCGCGCGCGCCTGGACCAGCGCGCGCGCCGGACCAACGCGCGCGCCCGGACCAACGCGCGCGCCCGGACCAACGCGCGCGCCCGGACCAACGCGCGCGCCCGGACCAACGCGCGCGCCCGGACCAACGCGCGCGCCCGGACCAACGCGCGCGCCGGACCAACGCGCGCGCCCGGACCAACGCGCGCGCCCGGACCAACGCGCGCCCCCGGACCAACGCGCGCCCCTCGACCAACGCGCGCCCCTCGACCAACGCGCGCCCCTCGACCAAGGCGCGCGCCCCTCGACCAAGGCGCGCGCGCCTGGACCGAGGCGCGCGCCTGGACCGAGGCGCGCGCCTGGACCGACGCGCGCGCCTGGACCGACGCGCGCGCCTGGACCGACGCGCGCGCCTGGACCGACGCGCGCGCCTGGACCGACGCGCGCGCCTGGACCGACGCGCGCGCCTGGACCGACGCGCGCGCCTGGACCGACGCGCGCGCCTGGACCGACGCGCGCGCCTGGACCGACGCGCGCGCCTGGACCGACGCGCGCCCCTGGACCGACGCGCGCCCCTGGACCGACGCGCGCGCCTGGACCGACGCGCGCGCCTGGACCGACGCGCGCGCCTGGACCGACGCGCGCGCCTGGACCGACGCGCGCGCCTGGACCGACGCGCGCGCCTGGACCGACGCGCGCGCCTGGACCGACGCGCGCGCCTGGACCGACGCGCGCGCCTGGACCGACGCGCGCGCCTGGACCGACGCGCGCGCCTGGACCGACGCGCGCGCCTGGACCGACGCGCGCGCCTGGACCGACGCGCGCGCCTGGACCGACGCGCGCGCCTGGACCGACGCGCGCGCCTGGACCGACGCGCGCGCCTGGACCGACGCGCGCGCCTGGACCGACGCGCGCGCCTGGACCGACGCGCGCGCCTGGACCGACGCGCGCGCCTGGACCGACGCGCGCGCCTGGACCGACGCGCGCGCCTGGACCGACGCGCGCGCCTGGACCGACGCGCGCGCCTTGACCGACGCGCGCCCCTGGACCGACGCGCGCCCCTGGACCGACGCGCGCCCCTGGACCAATGCGCCCCGCGCGCGCCTGGACGAACGCGCGCGCCTGGACGAACGCGCGCGCCTGGACCAACGCGCGCGCCTAGACCAACGCGAGCCCCTGGACCCACGCGCGCCCTTGGACCGACGCGCGCCCTTGGACCAACGCGCGCGCCAAGACCAACGCGCGCGCCTGGACCAACGCGCGCGCCTGGACCAACGCGCGCGCCTGGACCAACGCGAGCGCCTTGACCGACGCGCGCGCCCCTGGACCGACGCGCGTGCCTGGACCAAGGCGCGCGCGCCTCGACCAACGCGCGCGCCTCGACCAACGCGCGCGCCTGGACCAACGCGCGCGCCTTGACCAACGCGCGCGCGCCTGGAACAACGCGCGCGCCGGACCAACGCGCGCGCCCGGACCAACGCGCGCGCCTTGACCAACGCGCGCGCGCCTGGACCGACGCGCGCGCCTGGACCGACGCGCGCGCCTGGACCAACGCGCGCGCCTGGACCGACGCGCGCGCCTGGACCAACGCGCGCGCGCCTGGACCAACGCGCGCGCCGGACCAACGCGCGCGCCGGACCAACGCGCGCGCCGGACCAACGAGTGCGCGTGGACCAACGCGCGCGCCTAGACCAACGCGCGCCCCTGGACCAACGCGCGCGCCTTGACCAACGCGCGCGCGCCTGGACCGGCGCGCGCGCCTGGACGAATGCGCGCGCGCCTGGACCAACGAGCGCGCCCGGACCAACGCGCGCGCCCGGACCAACGCGCGCGCGTAGACCAACGCGCGCGCCTGGACCAACGCGCGCGCCTAGACCAACGCGCGCCCCTGGACCAACGCGCGCGCCTCGACCAACGCGCGCGCCTGGACCAACGCGCGCGCGCCCCTGCACCAACGCGCGCCCCTGGACCAACACGCGCGCCTGGCCCAAGGCGCGCGCGCCTGGACCAACGTGCGCGCGCTTGGACCAACGCGCGCGCCTGGACCAACGCGCGCGCCTGGACCAACGCGCGCGCCTGGACCAACGCGCGCCCCTAGACCAACGCGCGCCCCTGGACCAACGCGCGCCCCTGGACCAACACGTGCGCCTGGACCAACGCGCGCGCCTGGACCAACGCGCGCGCCTCGACCAACGCGAGCCCCTGGACCAACGCGCGCCCTTGGACCGACGCGCGCCCTTGGACCAACGCGCGCGCCTGGACCAACGCGCGCGCCAGGACCAACGCGCGCCCCTGGACCAACGCGCGCGCCTTGACCAGCGCGCGCGCCTGGACCAACGCGCGCGCCTGGACCAACGCGCGCCCCTGGACCATCGCACCCGCCTTGACCAACGCGCGCGCCTGGACCGATGCGCGCGCCTGGACCAACGCGCGCGCCTGGACCAACGCGCGCCCTTGGACCAACGCGTGCCCTTGGACCAACGCGCGCACCTGGACCAACACGCGCGCGCCTGGACGAACGCGCGCGCCTGGACCAACGCGCGCGCCTGGACCAACGCATCGACACCTTCCGCACGCTCTACCCCACGCCGACTGACGTCTTCTCCTTCTATGGGAGGCAACGTCATAACTCTGCAGCACCGCCCACCTCCTCACGACTCGACAGGATTTACATCTCTCGGGCCTTTGTACCCCGCCTCGCGGCAAGCCCGTACATCCAAACCCGCACTTCAATCACGGACCACCTCTACGCCCCCCTCTGCTCGCTCACATTCATCAACCTCACAGTTGCACCCCGACCGTAGCGCCTCCGACAGCATCTACTCATGCGCCCCCACGTCCCACAGATCATCGACTCCGCCCTCGCTGTCTTCCCAAGCACCCCTTCCCCGGACTCCTGGGACACATGGAAGCTCGACCTCACCCTTAACCTCAAGCGCTTCTCCAACCAGGAGAGACGCCGAGTCGATGGCACGATCGCACATTTGGAACACACCATAGGCTCACTACAGCGACATGCTGCGTACACGGCCCTGACGCATGCTGAGTCTAACCGCCTTGACCAAGCAAGACTCCATCTGGCCAGGTATGAAGCCTCGAAAGCATCCGAGATTGCGCTCAAGGCAAAGCTCAAAGTGGAAGGGCACAGAGAAATGGGTGTCGCCTCCCTGATCTCTGGCCTCAACTCGCGAATCAAGGGCTCGATCATCAGCTCCCTGACATTACCAAATGGACAGACAACGTCGGACCTCCCCACCATGACCAACCTGTGCTCTAACTTCTTCCAGACACTCTACAGCGGAAGCAACCCCGCCACACCTAACAGTGCCTTCTGGCAACACATCCCCCCCTCCTCCATCCCGAACCCTCTATTCCTACGCCTCGGCGCCCCCTTCTCCCTAGCCGAAATCGGAAAAGCGCTGCTCTCTCTGTCTCGAGGAAAAACCCCCGGCCCAGACGGCCTACCCGGTGAACTCTTTCGGCAATTCGCCCCGCGTTTTGCACCGGTCTTCCACTCCGTGCTCTCCCCACCACAGCCTCTTTCTCGCCTACCCCCGTCCATGCTGACCGGACGCACTGTCCTTATCCCCAAAAGGGGTGACTTCTCGCTAGTAGAGAATCTCCGCCCCATCACCCTCATGAACGCTGACTACAAAGTACTCGCTCTGTGCGTGGCGAACCGTCTTCAGCTCGCTCTCCCCCAGCTCATCCATCCATCCCAAACCGCCTTTATTTAACACAGGAAAATCGGGGACACAATCAATGATACCCTCGACATCATGGACTGGGCAGCCTTCTCCTCGAACCCTCTTCTTGCTCTTATGGTGGACTTTCGGAAGGCCTACGACCTTGTCGATCGCCCGTTTCTCCTCCAAGCCTTAGCGGTCCTCGGGCTCCCTGCACCCTTCATCCATTGGGTACGACTAATGCACTCCGACACGAACACACGAATCTCTGTCAACAACATGCTCGGCCCCACCTTCCCCGTCCGTACGGGCGTCCGACAGGGCTGCCCTCTGGCACCCTTACTCTTCGTCTGTGTCATCGAGATCTTTCACCGTTACATGTCCCTCTTCCTCCCCGGCTTCGCTCTGTCCCCCGTTCAGCGCCGTCTCATGGCATGCTACGCCGATGATGTCACTCTCTTCCTCACCTCAGACACAGAGCTCGGCCTTGCAGTAATACTCCTAGGTGTTTTCGGATCCGTATCTGGGGAGATCCCCAATTGGAACAAATGCTCCATTATTCTTTTCCATAACGCCCCCCACCGATCTCGTGCACGCCGGACCTATTCCCGTCCGAGCCCCCAATTAAGCAGAACGCATCCTTGGAATTTATGTTGAACGACTACACCCCGGATCCACCACCTGGACTAATGCGCTTGCCCGTATACAAAACACCGCAAAATTCCTAGCAGCCTTGCATGCCACTGTCACGTGCCGCAAATCTCTGTCCTCGATCTTTCTGAACTCTGTCATCTCCTATCCCGGCCGCTTCCAACCTGTACCACCCAACACCATCAAGCGACTAAACATATCAGACGGGAACTTCCTCTCGTCCTCGAAACATAAACAAGATGGCCTTGCACAACGCTTCCTCCCCAACGGTCTCCTCTACAATTCACCCCAAGACGGCGGGGTGGGGTGATCGCCCCATCTACCCAAGTCAAAGCCCTCACTATTCAGCGTGCCCTGCGCAGATTTGGACCCACCCCGTCCGAGGAAGTCACGCGTACCCTGACCCCTTTCCCCTTTGGGCTTCACGGTCTGCTCTCCCATAAAGCCATCCTTGAACGTGACTATCTTCCCTCCTTCATCCCCCCCCGAGCACTGGACGAACTCAAAGCCCTCCTTTCCCTCCCCTTGATAATTCATGCCCCCCCCCTACGCATGCAATGCATCCTTACCGAGCCTCTCGCCTTCAACCGTTCGCTTCTTAAACCCGACGATCGACCGTTCGGCACCCGCCAACACGAGCGGTTCCTGCTTACGAGTCAGCTCCGCGTCGGACACATTGTCCGAATCACCAACTCTGACGTTGGCCCCATTTCTGCTCAAGATTTCTGCTCCCAAGTCCCAGAGGAATTCCACGACGACGCAACACGCATCCTCACAGAGCTCATCAAAGCTATCAAGCGTCCCTGGTGGACCGCCCTCCGAACCCCTCACGTCTCCTGTGCCTCCTCCGGAGACTGGTTCATGCTCTCGGACGACCACTATTCCATCTCTCATCTAGCCCTCCGTGTCATCGCCTACATCCCCCCTTCCTCCGTCTCGGCTAATGTCCACCTCGTCTCGCCAGACCATCACATTACCCGCACCCCAGCAAATACTGGACTCTTCCGTCTACAGGACCTCATAGAGGTGCACGTCAGGGACTGGTGGCTCGCAGGGCCACTTCATACAGGTGCAGGGTTAGGAGCTAGGATAGATCTTCTACAGGACGGCGTCCCCAGCCTCGCCGACATCCGCCGCCTCCTCTACTCAGCACAACCGCTCACCCACCACAGCCGATGGACCCGCGACCTCACCCTTCCTCCTCCTCCTCTCCCTGGCCTTAAGGACCCCTTTCTCAAAGACCAGCCGAGCCGCCAACGGGACATCCTCTTCAGACTCTACACACTCACCCTTCCCTCTAGATCACGCTTCCAATACTTTGATGATCGAGGGGTTTGCCCCCGATGCCCAGCTGCCGTCGTCGAGACGCTACCACATATCTTCTTTGAATGCTCCTCCGCTGGAAATGTCATCTCGGCCCTCCGCAGAGTCGCTGACCTCCGCCCCAGTCAAACCACCCCCGCCGAACACATTTTCTTCCCGATACAATCACGGGTTGGACAGTCCCCCCCTTGGAATCTACTAGTTGGAGCTGCAGTCAAGACGCTGTGGAACAGCCGTTGCGACCACAGATACCGCAACTCCTCCTCCTCGAGCTTCGAGATCCTGCAGCTGATTCTAGCCCAGTTCCTCATCGCCTTCAAAATTTATATGTGGAGAGGTAGACGCCAATCCGCCAAGAAGCGTCAACGCATATCTTCTAGCATCAGGCGAGCTCGGAAACTCCGACTCCTCCTTTTCGACAGGTCCGGTACACCCTCCATTCACCCCGACCTCAGATTCTCATGGCTTCTGGGAAACCCGTTCCGACCACCGTAGCCGGCACTGCATAGAGCGTCTCCTCAGGCTGCTGGCGGTTGTCCGAGAGGACAAGGAATAACGTGTGATCCACGTGCTCCTTTTTAGGATGCTGGCCACCTCGGCCATGTTTCTAGACAGCTCTATGGTTTTAATCATTGTACATTGATTACGATCAATATATAACCTTAACCTTAACCCCGTCGATTTGACAAATCTGAACTAGAGTTGGAAAGCCATCACGCTACTAAGAAATAGTTCAAGACGCTACGGCGACATAGTACGTACGAGAATGTCACACCCCACATGTGTTTAGGGTTTCGTCATCGCATTCGAATGTCGATAGCACGGCACGAGCGCGTAGTGACCAGGAAAGAGGCTCGTTGTTCTCCCGTCGTTCCTGCACGACGCCGTGGCGCAACATAAACGGCATGATCCCCCATTAGCCAGGTTCACTGCGCATTAGCCACTCGCCTCCCCACCAAACTCGCCTCCGCTCTGCATCACGCCCTGGTCGTGCGACCTCCAGTGCCGCCTCGCACCTTCTTTGCCGCCAAATCGCCACCTCGCCTTCCCATCTCCACATCGCAACCACAACACCGACTCGCCGCAGCGATTCGTCATCGCCGCCGGATAGGAGCCTCGCCGCCACATCGCCGCCTCGCCGCCTGGCCTCCTCAACGGCGTGCCGCCTCCAGGTCGCCGCCTCATCGCCACCCACAGAGGACCTTCTCACTCCCTCACAATGCACTACCCCTCCCTTCCCTTTGCTCCCATTCCCCTCCAATCCCTTCTTTTCCCTTCGCTTCCCTTCTTGACGTCCTCGTCGCACATCCCTTCCCCTCTCCTCCCTTCCCTTCTTTTGCCCTCCCTGCACTTCCCTTCCCCTCTCCTTTCTTCCCTTCTTTTACCCTCCCTGCAATTCCCTTCCCCTCTCCTCCCTTCCCTTTCCTTCCCTTGTTTTGCCCTCCCTGCACTTCCCTTCCCCTCTCCTCCCTTCCCTTTCCTTCCCATCTTTTACCCTCCCTGCACTTCCCTTCCCCTCTCCTCCCTTCCCTTTCCTTCCCTTGTTTTACCCTCCCTGCACTACCCTTCCCCTCTCCTCCCTTCCCTTTCCTTCCCTTCTTTTGCCCTCCCTGCACTTCCCTTCCCCTCTCCTTTCTTCCCTTTCCTTCCCATCTTTTACCCTCCCTGCACTTCCCTTCCCCTCTCCTCCCTTCCCTTTCCTTCCCTTGTTTTGCCCTCCCTGCACTTCCCTTCCCCTCTCCTCCCTTCCCTTTCCTTCCCTTCTTTTGCCCTCCCTGCACTTCCCTTCCCCTCTCCTTTCTTCCCTTTCCTTCGCTTGTTTGCCATCCCTGCACTTCCCTTCCTCTCTCCTCCCTTCCCTTCCCCATTTATTCCCTTTCCCTTCTCTTCCCTTCCCCATTTATTCCCTTTCCCTTCTCTTCCCTTCCCTTCCATTCGCGTCTCTTCACCTCCCTGCCCTATCGTTTTTCTCCCTACCTCCCCTTTTTTCTCCCTACCTCCCCTTTTTTCTCCCTGCCTCCCCTTTTTTCTCCATGCCTCCCCTTTTTTCTCCCTGCCTCCCCTTTTTTCTCCATGGCTCCCCTTGTTTCTCCATGCCTCCCCTTTTTTCTCCATGCCTCCCCTTTCTTCTCCCTGCCTCCCCTTTTTTCTCCATGCCTCCCCTTTTTTCTCTCTGGATCACCATGTAAGCATGCCATGCCATCTCCTGTAGTGTCTTGCTATGTGCAGGACGAATCCGTGCCTTCACAGGTGGGGACTCGCCTCCGGTGCAGCAGCAGGCGCAAGAGCACATAGAGAAGCTCAGGCACTGCTTTGTACATCGCGATATTTGTAAAACATTACTTGGGACGGAAATTTTGTACGGTACTTCACATACAGTAAAGCATTGTTGCATAAAAAAAGAAACCTTCAAAGGAAAAAGAAAAACATCACCAATGCCATCATTATTGGATATCCTGTTTCCTAATGTGAATGTACATTCTGTTGCATCATTCGAAGATTCTCGACACGGAGAGGGTCCAGACAATCCTAGGTTCAACTAAATGTCATCTTGGGTGCTTCATGCTCGACGAACTGCACCACTGAAGGGAGAGGGAAGGTGCGAAGGAGCAGACAGGGGAGCATAATCAGATTGTAAGATACCGAGTGGCATAGGGACAAGGACGGTGAGAGAAAGAGCATGTGAAAAAGAAAAGAGTGAGCAGAGGGGAACAAAGGGTAAGCAAGCAGGGGATAAGAAAGATTGAGCAGGGCGGAAGCAAAGGGTTAGCAGGGGGAAAGGAAAGAGAGGGGGGGAAACAATGGTAAGCCGGGGGAAAAGAAAGAGTGAGCAGGGAGGGGAGAAATGACAGGGGGTGGGGGGAGAAATGATGAGGGGAGAGGGGTAGGGAGAGGGATCTCACTGTATCCTGGCAGGGGCTGGCCGAGGGGGGAGAGAAGGGTGGGGGAGAGGGGTAGGGCGAGAAGGGTGGGGGAGAGGGGTACGGCGAGAAGGGTGGGGGAGAGGGGTGGAGGGGAAGGTGGGGGAGAGAGGGGGGTGGAAAGGGCACGGTGAGAGGGCAAAAAGGGAAATGTTCTTAGTTGTCGCAAAACAAGCACCAAGCGGTCTGCGGGTCCTCGAACACGTAGGGGGTGGGGAAGGGGGACACAGAGGGGAACGGGCATGGAGACGAGGGGAAAGGGTGGGGAGGGCAGTGAGAAGAAAGGGCGGGGAGGGAAGCGAAGGGGAAGGGCGGGGAGGGCAGTGAGGGGGAAGGGCGGGGAGGGCAGTGAGGGGGAAGGGCGGGGAGGGCAGTGAGGGGGAAGGGCGGGGAGGAGAGTGAGGGGAAAGAGCGGGGAGGGCAGTGAGGGGGGAGGACGGGGAGGGCAGTGAGGGGAAAGGGCGGGGAGGGCAGTGAGGGGAAAGGGCGGGGAGGGCAGTGAGGGGGGAGGACGGGGTTATCGAGATGTCCCTAAACTAGCTTGCGCCGCAGCATGCTGTACTTGCGACAGGGAGGGGAGAGGGGAAAGGGAGGGGTGGGGCAGAGGGGGAAAGGTTGGGGAGGGCACGAAGGGCTAAGGGTGGGGCTCGACGCACGATGTGCACACCTGCGCGCCCAAGGACGGACGGGAGCAGGAGAGGTGGAGCACGGCGCTGCAGCTTGCGACTTTGACGAGCATCCCCTTCACACATTCCTCACCAACCAACCCCCGCCCCCTCATTTCTCTCCACCCTCTCCCCGTCCCCACCTCTCCTCCACCCTCTTCGCACGCTACGGCTAGCTCTCCTTCTTCCCCTCCCCTTTTTACCTCGCGGAATGCATCGGCGATCTCGTCACAGGAGCACCCGCTTTCATTTCCCATCTGCCGCCGCCGCTCCGCCTCGCGCGGGTCCTCGATCATCACCACCAGGCATATCTGCACGCGGCAGGCGCGCGGAGATTGGTGGGCGGCAGAGTAAGCGGGGGGGGGGGGAGGGAATGGGAGGGGTGGGGGCAAACGCGGACAGTAGGGAGGTGAGCGAAGCGTGCGATGTCACTAGAGTCCTGAATGTCGCGAAATTTTACGAATGTTGCGAGAGCCTTAGGCAAGCGTGAACCACCTTAAGAATGTCCTGTACGCCTACTCAGGACATGCGCCTCCTCCGCCGACAGCTGCGCCTCCCCATCCATCCCCTCCGCCGCCGCCGCTACTGGCCGCACGGGCCGCCTAGACGCCGGAACCGTGAGTCGCGATGATACGCTTTGCTGCGATTGGCAGCGGCATCGGACGGCTAGCGATCGCTTGGACGAGAAAACGACGGGTCGCGACAGGCAGGAAGCGCCGCGCCAGTGAGCGAGCGACAACGACCCGTGTGGAGAGATAGACGTCGCCATTGGGGACGATGTAACGGACTAAAGTAAACTCCGCCTTTAGAATGAATCTACGGAATTGGAATTTACTTTATCGTCCAAAAATCCATGCTCTGTGGGTGGCGGTGCGCTGTGGGCTGTAGTTGCTAACTACTTCGTTGCTTGGAGTATGTGTGTTGTGGAACGAGAGTCGCTGCCGTTTTGGTTCACAAACTGCCTGTCCCAACCTCAAGTTCCCAACTCCAATTCCCCCCGTCGCTACTGACGGGAGCGAGACTACCACCGCAACTCCGCCAACACTGAAACATCGTTCGCGTCTCACCCACAGCCACAAACCGGGTAACCACGTGGGGGCAAGTGATAAACCTTTGCCCCCACCCTCCCCAAAGTGCACCCTTGTTTTAATGTCAAATATACCGCACTTAGATTTACTTTACATAGGACTTGGTCCGGGGGAGGCTCAGCCTGCCAGGGTGTCTGCCGGAAGAATGCGTTATTCACAGGAGATAAGGACGCGGTTAAAGTAGACGATCGATCGTCAGTAGCGATCGATGTGCGAATCGGTTACCCTATTAGCTTTGTTGTAACCATGCTACAGTACACTTTCTGGCCAAAATTTCTGTACAGTGTGAGAATGCGACTGATCACAGCTCGCGGGAAATCTGTCAATTTTCAGCCGCGATCGTGACAACGTCGCGGTCGCCACGTTTTGCCAAACGATCTGCCCACTCGATTGTGGGGATCGATATATGCAGACGATCCTGCGATATTTTCCTGGGCTCCAGGAAGAAGTGCAGAAAAGCAGAGGTGCTAAAGAAAATTACTGTCTGAACCCGGAATCGAACCGGAGACCTCCAGTGTGTGAGACTGGCGTGATAACCGACTACACCATCCAGACATGTTGTGATTGTCAAAATTTTATTTAAAGTTTTATAATTGTTTTTTCTTCAGCTTCAGCTGTCCGCTTCATCAGACACCGTCAAGCCATCACACAATGGCACTCCGGGTCAGCTCTCCCGTTAGCGTTTCTATTCCCCACAGTACCCAGTGGGTAGGACGAGAGGCTCGGGTAGCCAATCAGGCTCGGTTAGACACGCAGGTTCGGGTAGCAGGCGGGCAGGCTCGGCAAGTTAGAGCTGCTTCAGCATACCCCAGACGAGCCAGCCTACGGGACTCTGCGCGTCACGAGTTCAACCCCGAGGCGCGGCACAATCGATGCTGGGTCAGTCACGCGTCGCCTGCACGAGGTCGCGTTTCCACCGCCGCGTCTTCAGGGGACAATGTCGAGGCTGCTGCTACCGAGGCTGCTGCTGCTGCTGCTACCGAGGCGCATTCTCTGCCTAGCGACGCTCCGTCGCTAAAGGCCGCGCTTTACTCCGGTTTAGAAGGTGGAAATTGTATTAAGCCTTACTAATATCATTAATTTCTTAACAGGGATTTATATGAGAAGCGGCTGGTTTGATTCTGACGGTAACCAAGTGTTTAATTCCTGGGTTAAATGTCAGGGAGGTGTAACTTTGTGCTTCATGTCCCCCCCACACCCCTCATTTCCCCCCGACACCCCCCATTTCCCCCCCAAACCCCCCATTTCCCCCCCATATCCCTCAATGTCCCCCCCATACCCCTCAGTGTTCCCCTCATACCCCTCAAACTCCCTCCATACTCCTCAATCTCCCTTCATATCCCTCAATCTTCCGCTTTACCTTCCCTCGCCCCTCCCTCCATCCCATCCCTTTCCCCGCCCTCCGGTTTAGGGTTCCACTCTCCCCTTCCCCCGCCCATTCCTCCCCTCCTCTCCCCGCATGCCATTGGCCAAGCGGGCTTATTTGCACGCTATCATCGATGATCGAGCGATTGGGGTATTTGATTGAACCCGCGACCTCCCCTTCCCCTGCCCCTTTCCCCCCTATGATGCTGCAGGGTGTTTTTGAGAATTCTCAAAAACACCCTGCAGCATCGATGATCGAGCGATTGGGGTATTTGAACCCGCGACTTTACCTTCCCCTGCCCCTTTCCCCCCTATTCTCCCCACCCAAGCCTCAGCCGGGGCATCTTAGGCATGCCATCAAGCCCTTCCCCTTACCATGCCCCTTCCCCTTCCCCTTCCCATCCCCCTTCCCCTTCCCCTTCCCCTCCCCTTCGCCGTCCCCCCCCCCCCCCACCCGCCTCCCGTCATTCCCCCAGGCCTCAACCGGGGTATATTTGGCATGCCATCGGCCAAGCGGGCTTATCTGCACGCAATTATCGAGCGCCTGGAGGAATTGAACCCGCGACCTGCTCCCACGGAGCACATAGATGAGGTGAGAGAACACAGGTGCCAGGGCGACAATCATGGGAGCTTATTTGCACGCGATAATTGAGCGCCTGGAGGAATTGAACCCGCGACCTGCTCCCACCGAGCACATAGATGAGGTGAGAGAGTTCGAAAGAGCATACTTGTGCGTGTCACGTGTGTGTCGTACCTTCACTTTTGAGCCAACTCTTCTCCCCTCTTGACTCTGGAACTCACTTATACGCCACCATACTTAACCCATATTTACCCCTACTTACCCATGCCTACCCATCCTGGGCTGTCACCAGCAGCCACGCACAGTCCATCCCGCCCCCCTTTTGCTTTTCCCTCTTTTCCCCCCAAGGACTAGATCCCAGGAGAGTGGCTGCTGCTCTACAGCACCATCGCCATCCTCGGTTCCTTCCAAGCAACATAGTCTCTATTCCACTCTCCCACACACATCCTATGCCCCCATTCCCACGTATATGCTCCTAGATCACAAGCGAGTGGCGTCTCCTCCACAGCACCATCTCCATCCTCGGCTCCAAGCAACTCGGCCCCCAACCCCAATCCCACTTCCTCTTCCCCCCCCCCACCCCAACAACCACACTCCCGTTCACACCCAGATCACAGGCGAGTGGCGGCTGCTATACAGCACCATTGCCATCCTCGGCTGTATGCAACGAGGTCAACATTACCACCCCGGCGAATGGCGCCTGCTCTACAGCACCATCGCCATTCTCGGCTCCAAGCGCACCAAGCTGTTGCCTCTGTCTGTCCCAACCCCCACTTCCCCCCACTTCTCTCTTCCCTCCAGCCCTTCCTTCCAGATCACAGGCGAATGGCGCCTGCTCTACAGCACCATCGCCATTCTCGGATCCAAGCGCACCAAGCTGGGCCTAAGAGCTTGAGAGACTGACGTACCTCTTCTTTTCTCCCTGGCCTCCTGCCCTCCTTCCTTCCCGCCCTCCTGCCCTCCTGTCCTGTCCCTTCTTTACACCGCAACACCCAGATCACAGTTGAGCGGCGCCTGCTCTACAGCACCATCGCCATCCTCTGCTCCAAACACACCAGGCTGGGCCTCAGAGACTGTCTTGCTTGCCACTCCTGCCCTCCCTGCTCTCCCGCCCTTTCCTCCCCCCTCGCAAACAACGATCAGATCACAGGAGAGCGGCGCCTGCTCTACAGCACCAACATCGCCACCACCATCGCCATCCTTTGCTGCAAACGCACCAAGCTGGGCCTGAGAGACAATCGTCCCACTTCTCCCTTCCCTGCCCTCGCTCCCACCCTTTCTTCCCCCCCCACCTCTCCCCAACATGCAGATCATGGGAGAGTGGCGGCTGCTCTACAGCACCATCGCCATCCTCGGCTGCAAGCGCACCAAGCTGGGCCTCAGAAACTGTCTTACCTCTCCTTTACTGTCCCCACCTCCGACCTTTCTGCCCTCCCCCTCCCCTCCAACATTCAGATCACGGGAGATTGGCGGCTGCTCTACAGCACCATCGCCATTCTTGGCTCAAAGCGCACCAAGCTGGGCCTCAGAGATTTCATTTCTTTGGGTGAATTCCTTCAGATTGTGGACAAGGATACGGTACGATCTGGCTTAAGAGGGGGATAGACCAACTTGGTTGAACTTTTGAAAATTCTCAAAAGGTCTCAGGGACTCCATTTCTCCCCTGAGGGGAACTTCTTGAGATTGTTAACAAAGACACGGTGAGTTGACAAATCCCTGAGGGAGTTCTATCCTGGGGGGGGGGGGGGTGGGTCTCCGTGTGAAAAATGGCTGGTTTTGAGATGACTCAAAAGCTGTCGGATTTCAAAACCAGTCATTTTGGGAGGCTTCTTCTAAGATGCAGGCACGGTTGCGGCGTGAAATGAGAGTGCTTTTGAGACGTCTCGAAACCACTCTCATTTCACGTGGCTGTTTAGAATGCGGCACGGATGCGGCGCGATTGCCAGCCATGATTCGTTACCAGTGACGGTCACACTGTGCTGTTGAGGCGCCTAAAACGTCGTTTTCAGTGACGGTCACACTGTGCTCAAGGAAGCTTCTTATACAGCCCCCCCTGCGCCCATCAACCCCCCTTGTCTCACCCCTCGAGAGGCGAGCAGCCAACATGGTGGAGTTCGCAGTGAGGGGCCTGGGGCTGCTGTCAGGGAAACTCACCATTGAAGCCATGTGCTTCGTCTTCCCCTCTCCTCTCCCCCCATGCATCGTCGTCACTCACGGTTTTGGA